ATAATTGGTGTGGGTTGGTAATAAAGGAAGAAGTTGGTTTCATGCATAAGTTCTTTGTATCAAGTACTGGTTACGTTATATATATATCACATAGTTGGAAGAAAAAGGAAAGAAGGGTAGAGTGATTGTGGAAGGGCCTTGGGTTAAACGAAGAGCTACGTGAGTTGATATGAGTGAGAGATAGTGGTGTAAGCTAGGCAAGAACAACGAGAATGAGCGAATGAGAATAGTGTATAGGACGAAGGGTTTTTGGGTTGAGTGAGGTGTGAACATTGAAGGGAATGAGAGTCGATTGGTAGAATAATTATGGAGAAAGGAGGTGGTGGGTGTAGGTGTTGTGGAAAAGGAGTATGAGTGGAAGAGAGGGAGAGGTTGGTAGGTTGCAGGTGAAGGACTTAATAGTGAGAGTGCCTCGGGTTGGGTAGCATGAATGAAATAATGTGTGAAGGGCTTAGTTTCTCATCGTGGTTATGTTGGGAAAGAAAGATAATAAGAAAGGGTTCGGCATGTGCAGGGAACATGCAAGGAATATGGTCAGCATCTTTAAAAGTTTGAAGGCTTTATTGGCGTCCTCCTGCCATTCCTTCCGCCTTCAGCAGCCGCAGCTGCACAAGACTTTTTAAACCTTCAAAATCCTCAAGTTCAAAATGAAGTACCCAATAATGTCCAACCAGAACAACAACCACCACACCAGCAACCACCAGATGAATAACCACAAGATGGAAATGATTACATGCATTATTAGGCATTTTATAGAACTTATTTCCATTACTGTTGAACTTATTTAGAACCACAACTACAATCTGTTTATGAACTTACCTAATGTTTATTCTTGCAGTTATATTGATGTAAACAATATTTATGTATTCATATACAATGTTTCCTTTGTGGATTAAGTGTATCTGAAAACCTTATTGAATTTATATGTCAATGTGCAATGTATAATGTCCAGGTTTGCTTATAACAATGGTGAATGTTCACTATAATGTCCAGGTCTGCTTGTATATTGTGCATGGGGAACAGCTATATACAGGGTATTTATTTAGCTCTTCGTAAACCATTATATACGGATTTATCCGTATATAATTTCCGTATATAAGTTATATATGGATTTATCCGTATATAATTTCCGTATATAAGTTATATACGGATTTATCCGTATATAACTTATATACGGATAAATCCGTATATAAACCTAGCTACGACGGTATTATATACGGATTTTTACCCGTATGTAATTTGTATATAAACACGTATTATATACGGATTTTGGGTCTTATATACGGATTTTTGCTGTATGTAATACACTTTTTTCTTATAGTGTGAATAAAAAGTTACAAATGATTTTGTAATTTGGCCTCTAAAATTAGTTATGCTACCAAATAAATTAGTTTCTAGATTGGTTACTAATAATTAGACACTTAAACTAATTTTTTTTAATAGTTAAAACCTTTTATAATTAATTTTATAGACCAATTTGCATACCATTTATAAATTTGTATTAATAATAGTAACTATTTTAATAATCAATAATTTTTAATTTTTTAAAATTAGTTATTACAGGGACTAATTATTTTTTGTTACTAAAATTAATTACTATATATTGAAATTTTCTTGTAGTGCTAATGTTATTACATACTTATAAAAGTAAATTAAACTTAATTAAATGTTGAAATGAATTACTTTTGTCCTTGCACAAGTTATGTAGTAGTCATTAACAAGTTCGATTTTTATTAAGTTAAAATGTAAAACAAATGAAATATTATTTTTAAAGTTTACAAATAAAATAATTATGTATAAACAAGTTATCTAACCATAAGATAAATCAACTCTAAGGATCTTGTGTTTCTTTCCTTTAAAATATTTATTTGAGCCTCAATTCTAATTAAAGACACATGTAAGTGAATATCTACTTATACTTTAAAATATAATGAAAAACATTAAAGTTCCTTTAGTAATAAATTTGTAATATTCGTTTGTGGGTTTTCGTTACAGCAAACAAAACCACACCATAAGATAATCCCTATAATGACAATGAATTACTTTTAGAACTTTTTGAGTGATGGTTTAAGTTGGAATTAGATTAATTGTTATTTTTGCATGATTTTATTTATTTTCATGATAATGAAATATAGATTTGAATTTTTCACTATTTTATGATGATTGTAAAAGAGTTATTCAGTTGCAAAAATAGATCACAATAGGATTATGAGGTTAAGTTGAATATGAGGTTAATTGAGAATGAGAATCACCATAATTGTGATGATTAAACACAATAGGATTATGAGGTTAAGTTGAATTAATGTATTTGTTTCTTTTGATTATTGATTTGAGTTATCCTTTTTCTATGTCTTTCATCTCTCAATCACGTTAAAAATACTGGATTTTACATCACAAGATGTTTGAATCTACATGCATATTGGGAATACGAGTTTAAAGGTTTTTAAGTTTGATTGAGAATGTACATTGATCAAATTTAGGAACTTTCATATGATTAAATAGGCTTTTGCTATCATGTACTTTGATTAATGGCAAGAATTTTAACTATTATTAATTGAAAGTTTACTTTGATTAATTAACTTTTAATTTTGTTAGGAGATTTAAGAATAGTCATGATTAAATACAATAGGATTTGATTGAGAATGTACTTTGGTTGAATTTGTTAGGAATAATCTAAAAAGGTCTTACTTTTGATTCAGAACTTTTGATTCAGATTAAGAATGTACTTTAATTAATTTGAAACTTGAATAATGATCAATTGAACGATAATCTATGGATAACCGATAATGAATCTATCTTAAAAAAATAGTAGAATTAGTCTATTTCATTATAATTGTTTCTAAGTTTCTTATTTGTTCTATAATTAAACTCATAATATTATGCAAACATTAATTTCATTAGCATAACTTTTTACTTTTATTTTTAAGCATTACATAACATTTACTAACCTTTCAGAGTCTCCATAAGAGTTAAGTATTGAAAAACAATTTCGTATTCATTGGGAAACGACTCAGGGTTCTGTTACCCCTATTTAGTTTGTTGACTACTAACTTGGCAATACGAAAGTTTTCTTGTAAAATAATATTAATTTGATAACTTCAACAACATCGTATCAATAGGCCTTGGAAATTTGATAAGAAAACCATGCACAATGGTCTTACCAATGAGATCACCTCCACCATAAGGAAAAGAAGTTCACCCTTCCCTTACCACCTTCTAAGGTGTATGAGGACAAAAAATGGAAAAGAAAAGGGATGTGAAAAAACAAGAAAGAGGGTGCATAGAAAAAGAGGAGCAAGATCCTAATGCATGCATACACGAGGAAGGAGAGACTAGCACTCCTACCACGATCACTCAAAAGGAGAGGAATTTGTCTAAGAAAACTTCCTGAATGAGCAACATTCCTTCCTTCTTCTTTGTAGAAGTGCTCTCTCTTTCATAACAACTCAAGAATCTAAGTTTCCATCTCCTTTGGAAAAGCCTTTGCAAGATTTGGAGGATGTGTTTTCCCAAGAAGAACCTATGGGTCTTCTTTCCAATTAGGGAAATTGAGCATCAAATAGGTTTTATTCTTAGGGCAAGCCTACCAAACAAGTCAACCTATAGAACCAACCCTCAAGAAACCAAGGAGATTGAAAATCAAGTACAAGAGTTGTTAAATAAGGGGTGAGTTCAAAAGAGTTCGAGTCCATGTGTTGTGCTTGTGTTATTAGTCCCTAAAAAGGATGGAAAATGGAGAATGTGTTATGATTGTAGGGCTATTAACAATATTACCATCAAGTATAGACACTCAATCCCAAGACTAGATGACATGTTTGATGAGTTACATGGGTCCACTATATTTTTCCAAAATATATTTTAAAAGTGGTTATCACTAAATAAGAATAAAAGAAGATGATGAATGGAAAACAACCTTTAAGACTAAGTTTGGACTATATGAATGGTTAGTGATGTCTTTTGACTTAACTAATGCACCTAGCACCTTTATGAGATTAATGAATCATGTCTTGAGGGATTGCATTGGAAACTTTGTGATTTTGTACTTTGATGATATCCTAGTATATAGCAAGAATTTACATTATCATTTAAGACATCTACAAGTGGTTCTTTGCACTTTAAGAGACAATCATTTATTTATCAAACTTATATGAATGAAGAGATTTCACTTTGATTGATCATAAATCATATTGTATCTTCTAATATACATATTTTTCTTATATTATGTCATATTTTGAGTTTACTTTATTAACTGTGCAATAAAAAATCTTTAATTGTTTTAGTTTTAATTATTGAAAATCAAAATATTTAATTTTATTTATACAAATTTACAAAATTTTATTTATTAAAAAAATTCTAAAATAATTTCAACTCGTCTTTTAACATCAAAATTTGTCATCAAATCTTTAAGAAACTTTACTCCCAAATTCACTCTACCATCACCTACAAAAAGAAACAACATAAATTTCACAATCCACCTAAATCCATATACTCTATCTCCCTATAATCAATCCTTATAAAATAACACAACCTTAGAATTTTGTCAGATTACTGAGTCATATAGATATTGAGCACTCATGAAAGTCAATTTTAACTTCAACAAGTAATGCACATTTCTTCACTCCATCCCGAATCTTCTCTACTCTTTTTTTTCTTCGTTTCTTTAAGTATTCATTCTTGTTTTGCTGTATGTATTTTTACTATAATCTTACTACTATATTAATTTGTATTTGGGATCATTAACCCTAAGATAAACATGAACTTATTTTATATCATTCGTAGAAAATATTCAATTTTTATTTAAAGTTCATACTCCCATATTTATATGTTTATTAGTTTATTATGCAACCTATTACTAATGAAGTTTAAATAAAATTGCAGTGAAAATCGTAAAAATTTAATAACAGCATTTCAATCATATCTGCGTTACATAATTTTTATTAATGGAATCATAGACAAATGAAAATTTTCAATGACTTTTAGTAAAGTATGCATAGTAAGAATGAACGGTAAACTCGATACTGTCATGACAATAATTTGTTGTACAAGTAAAGATACACCGTGACATTAAATTTTCGTGTACATATACAGAGATACAATTTTATGTACAGAGCGAGGAAAGAATGGTTAGGGGACCTAAAATATGTATTTACAGAAAGTCCCATTGCCAATAGACCTTCTCTACAATACCTCCACCACTTTTAACAGCGAGGTGAAGCGTCTCAGAAGCTGGTGGAACCCCCCACAATAATGGCACTGCAACAGTCATGGTTAGCTTCTCATGTAAATCACCTTTGCTTGCCTTCTCTGCAGCAATAACCTGCCATGTAAAATGATTTCTAATGTACTGAGAATTTGGGTTGAAACTATATCAGAAGAAAACATCTGGATATTGTGATACATGAATGGATAAGTTGCTTGGTAAATGCTTCCAGGATTACCAGAAATGAAATTGCCTATAAAAATCCAGTTACCCATTAATATGTAAGTTGATAGAACCATGCGAAAATGGCTGAATACAATTTTCAATGACAAGCACCCAGTCTAAATCCAGTTAATGATTGATACTGGCGTAATGATCTTCCGATTCCGACTTCTACAATTTTCTAACGTGTACTTTTCAATTAAACAAGATAACAAGAATTGAAAGTTGATTCGAAAAGAACTGGTATATTTAAAGAGACAATATTCTACGTAGAAATTTGTTGGAAAACAGAAAATAACAATCGGTATGCACAGCCGTTGGCTTGCTTGTGTACATGTGCAAAACTTATATTAATGTGACCTTGCAAATACCTAGGGTGCATGGAGTATAAAAACTTCCTTTAAGTGATTACTTGTACGTGGATTTAAACTTAACTCAACCTTACCAGTGTTGAGAAGTAGACATCTCAAATATAAAATTAAATACTTATGTGTGTCTTCTCGTGTTGAGAAGTAGACATCTCAAATATAAAATTAAATACTTATGTGTGATCCGATAATAGTTTGATAAAATATGACACAATATAAGTCCAAGAAACCTTGTTAGGATGTGTTTTTCATACTATCTAAGAATGTCAGTTTAAGTTTAATTCCACCTTACAAAACCTATTCATAAGTTGAGATTTTACACTAATTTATATAATAATTTGGTCATATCTCCCTAGTTGATGTGAGATCTACAGCAATTTATCAAGTTCTTATCAAACAAGAGTTTATGGCATAAATTTAGCCCCAAAATTACTGAAAGAAGTTGAAAAGACCTTATTCTAATAAGTTTTACTCAGATGCTTACTGAATAAAGTTAAAAGAAGTTTATAGGAGTAATACGTTATTTTTCATAGGCTCAAATAACTAAATAAGTTCCACTAAAGCTCTTCCAAATACCTCCATAGAGTTAAATCAAATGGTGCAGAAAGTTGAGGGTTTTATATCACTATTTTTTATCTATAGCATTATTCTTTAGAAATTATCCTCAGACCAGATAGTCTCGTCAAATTTTAACAACGGTTTGCAATTTTGACTAAACTTTCTTCAACATATACTCAGAAGCAGAACACAATAGCTTTATTCAAAGAAAAAAGTATAGCATACCTCCCCCCCATGCTCTAAAACAGTGTCTTCCACAACGTCACTGAGCATCTCAATGGAACGGCAGAAACCAAAAATACAAAGTTTTCTGCCCATATCAAGTCCCTAGAAAGAGGGCAACTCGTACGAGATAAGAGGACAATTCATATATGAGATGGAAAAGGATGCCTTAAACTCTCGTATTAGTTAAAAGATCGAGTGCTCACATTAGTAGCAGCAATATCAAAGAGTGCACCCAGACAAAGACCTTGGTTGGGATCCATGTAGTTACTTTCTTGAAACCGTTGGAACTTTTGTGTAGCTTTTGATTTCCCTTGCTTCTTCTGTGAAGTATAACAATATATTAGCCAATCTACAAGAATATAGCATTAAAATGTACTGTAAACAAGCATGGGTCAAACATGAGAAAGGTTCAAGAAAGTGCATATTGTGCCTTCGCTGTCTTGGGCTAAAAAGCTGATTCTATGGCACCAAGATACCTTTTAGCATGAGAAGTAAAAGGGCAACGAGCCTAATCGTGTAACAAAATGTAGTATACTAAAATTACCAAATGAAAACCTTATAAACATGACAAGAAGCAAGTTGGACTTCCACCTATAACCGTCTAAGCTTTTAAGGTAATTGATTTCTTGAAATAGTTCCAGCAGTCCTTCCCCTCTTCTTACTGGATTAAACGTTCAACATAAATTTTAGGTGGACACGTGCTTTTTTTGGTCTAACTTCAACCCCAAAGAGCGTTTGCGTGAATTTTTTAAAAAATGTGTTGAAGTTATCACTCCTCAATAAAAATCACTGTTAGGATTTTCTCAACATAAATCAAGATTTTGGAGCCAAATAGATATGGTGCACTAAACATAACCAACAGCACATTCAAGGTTCCCTCTAAGTTCTAATTGTTAAATTGTAAACAAAAAAAGGATGAACTTTACAAATCATACATCAGAAGAGCTGACACGGCGTGGAACCATGGAGCCACCGATCTGGATCAGTCCATCAGCAGTGAACAACGTAATTCTCTCCTCAGGAACCCATTGAATGTCTGAGAAGTCGCAAACATAAAGGATAACAACTCATCAACTAATTACTACATATATAACTCAAAGCAGGAAGCTTGAATAATTTCTGAACCTGATATTCATCATCTCAACTAGTTGCTTTAAAATGCAAACATTGGGATAAAATCACAAGTGAAATGAATCAACACTCAGAAAAATCTTTAATTATAAACGTTTAAAAAATGCCTTAGCCTTTTGCTTTGACTTATTGAAGACCGAATAAATTCCAATTGCAAACTTCAAGTGAAAACATTGAAAATGAACCTCAAATTCTGAAATTCAGAATCAGCGATGTTGAAGGAAAAGCGTACCGTTAACGGAATCGGACCAGGGGAAAAAGGCGAAGGAATCGTCGCCGGAGAAGTTACCACCGGGGGAGGCTTTGGGAGCGAAATGGAGAAGGCGAGGATGAGGAGCAGAAGGAGAAGAAGATAAAGAGAAGGAGTTGTTGAAGGTCTTGGAAGGAGAACAGAACGGAACGAAAGAGAATCTGAACGTGGAGAAGCATAGTGCAGAGGTTTCCGCCATTGGAACGGAACGGAGTGAAACACACGCCACGTTAGAGAATGCTACAACGGTTCGGTGATGATCAAAGCCCGTTTTGACTATTCAATTCATTGAACTCACCGCGCATTCGGACGCACTTCCGGTTTCACTCTGAAGATGTTATATATTTATTTATTTATTAATTTTTATTGCTTTTTTATTTTTTTTATGGCTGAGAATTTCACATGGATATCGCACACACACTTCCTTTTTCTTTTCTTTTTTTTCCCTCTTTTGCATTTATTATAAGAATTCCCTCCACCAGGGAAAAAATGATTTTTTTTTTCAAAAATAAAGTAGAACTAAAAATATATACCAAAATAGCATAATCCAAAGTTTATTTACGAAAAAAACTACTCTATTGTCTAGGAAAGAAAATTGCAAAACGTCTCCTATAAATTGATTTTCGTTCAATTATTTTAATGTAACCTTTTAATTTAATGAAACAATATGTAATTAAAAATTGTAAAAAAATATATTTAATGAGTTAACATTTCATAATATAAAATACATAAGTGCTATTAAACATTATATTCCATATACTTTCATGATTTAAATTAGACTTATAAAGTTTAAAAATAGAAACTATTTGAAAATATTTTAGATTAATGAATATTATTAAAATATATTTAAAATACAACGAATGATAACAATAATAATAATTTAGAAATAGTTAAAATCATTTTAATATAAAATAATAGAAAATTCTAAAACATGGAAATTTATAATTAATTATTGTTAATATTCGATTTAAAACTGTTCATACTATTAAAAATATTATAATGTGTAATTAAGAATAATAATAATAATAATATGTAATATTTATTTTAACATTATATTTACATTATTAATAAGAATGAATTATCTAATTTAATATTAATCGTTAAAAATTACTACTTCAATAATTTTTGTAGACTATTAAATTTTTTATTACTAAATACAATTAAATATGATTGTGTAGTAATTAATTTAATTTTAATTTATATTTACATATATGTAAATAATTAAATTAATTATTAATATTAAAAAGATAGGTATAATTTTAATTTATCTTTTTCTATCTTTTCTTCCATTTTTGTTTTTGTCTTGTTCACTTCTTATCTATGTTGCAATTTTGTTATTTAATATGAGAACTAAATATTTGAGAATCAATATGTAGAATCAAGATTAAAGTCAAATTAAGTTTTTTACACTCATCTTTGTTTTGAGTCTGTTCTTTTCTTCTCTAAGTTTGGTTTTCTCTTTTTGATATTTTGATAGCAATTTGTGTTTTTGATATTAGAATTCTTTGGAACATGTTAAATCTTGATTTGGTAACTAATTAATTCATATAAACCAATTTAGTTAATTAATTGAATCAATTAATTTGAATTTTTAGAAAATATAATTTTTTATTTTTTTATTATTAAATATGTGATTGATTTGTTTTAATTTGTTTAACTTTCATATTTGATCTTCGATTTTATTTATTTTTTAAAATTGTGTTATGTTTTCTACCTAGACCCTAATTTTATTTATATTAAAAAATACTAAAAATTGAATAAAATATTTAATCTGTCATTAAGAATTGACTTAGACCATGTGGCATCCAATGAAACACATAAATAGACACGATATGAACATGCACATGAAGATACAACTAAATTGAGAAATATAGAATACGAGACACCATGACATCTCAATTAAAATGTACTAATCATACTTCATCATCTTAAAAAATCAAGAGAAAACATTTATAAAAAAAAAGTCTAACCAAAGGAAAAATTATGTAAATAATAATATTTGATCACTAAGTTCCACATCTTGATGTCGGGTAAAATATTTGTGAATATTCATTTAACCATTCATGACTATAATATCCATAATATTAAAAATACATAAACATAAATTAATATAATATTATAAATTTATGGTATTATAAATAAAATGTACACAATAAAGTATAACATAAAATAATTTAAAATATAATGTATTACCTTATGTTCAAAGAATGATTAAGACAATATAAAGATATGTTACTTTTAGTCCACGAATCAATAAATATTAAGTTTATTACCTAAAAAAATAAATGTTCAGTATTTTTTTTTCACACTGGTAAATGACTTCTCTAGTCATTGAATCTCACATTTCATATACTAAGTGAATAGTAGTTGTTGGGTTGGGCTGTGTCTAAAAAGTCCAATCTAATTAAGTCCATATTATCGGCAAGTGGAAATGATACCTTTAGGTCACAAGAAAGAGATTTATTTTTCTCAGCCTTTAGAAAAGAGCGAAAAGAAAGAAAAAATGTTGGCAGGGTTATTCATTTTGATAGTTGGGATTGTTGATACGAGGTCAAAAAATCAATCTCACATTGTCGTTAAGGTAGGATTGTCTAAACGTCCTTATATGTTAAGACAAGATCGTCTATATGACTAAATTGTCTAAACGTTCTTATATGTTTTCAAGTTTAATAAACAACAATAAACGAAATGAGCATATGACAAAGTATTATCATTAGAAAAGCAATAAAACTAAAATGTAAGTGGTTTATGAAAAAGCTTAGTGAAATCTAAATATCTTAAGAAAAGCTTTACTAAACACATCAATACATAAACAGACGCACCACTAAACAATTTTCCTATTAAATGCGTCAAAGAGAAACTTGTTGAATGCAACTAGTATTATACATTGCTAAGCAATGCTCAAACAAACTCTCAACATGTCTTGATAGATGAAAGTGTCAAAAGATGTTTTTGGGAAGTACGTTAAAAATTTTGAACGATGATCCAAAAACTTGTAAAGAAAGACACCTTACTAAACGCACTTTCAAACGAAACAAAGATAACTTAGAGAAGCGTTTACATAGGCTAGACGATACCATGTGCTAAATAATCTCCTTCATCCAATGATGAAGTCTTCATCAACTACTTGGTATCATAGTGAAAAGCTTAAACGATCAAATCTTGCCTAAATGGTAGAAAACATGAAAAACACTTTGTTGTTCTGAACATGCACAACGTTTAAAAACAACTAAAGTGATAAGAAAAATGATATATATGCCTTCATGCATATCCATTCTACTTTATACAGATTACCTATGTCAAGTATTCACCTACTCCATCCTATACAAATCAGAAGGGGATGTTAGAGACAAGTAAGACATTCACGAAATCTCTCTATCAAAAGTCAGGCCAGGAATTTCGTACAACCTACCTTTTATAAAGAACTGAAAAAATATGTCTGCTCTGACAAGTTGACTTTAACCAATGACTGCTACCTATGACAAGGCTAAGAACATCCTAATATCAAAGAAAAATATTATATAAATGACATTTTCTTGAAGCCTATATATTGAAGAATGTCAAAGACAAGAGTACGAGAATAAGCACACAAATACAAAAGAAAATATGTGTGATGAAAGGAAAAGCTTAAAAGAAAAAGGAAATACTCTCAAGTTTCATAGAATCATCAACTTACTATTGTAAGAAGAGAGAAAATTTTGAGAGTCTATTATATTGAATAGTATTATACACACATCCTATATGCGAGAGTAACGGTCTAAGAACATGTATCAAATCTGTTTGGTTGTAAATTCTGAATATAAAACACTTTACATTTAACTAGGTGGGGTTAAACGGTAATTAGACAGGTTTGTCTAGTGGAAATCAGGATTTGGTGAAACTCAAATAGACAGTGTATCAGGAATAGGAATGACAAAAAAATTTGCGCTCACAGATATCCGCAAATAAAATCCACGACAAATAGTTGGTACCCGTGGATATTTACTACCCGCGGGTTGCGGGTATTTTAATACCCGCTTATAAACGGGTCGGGTATGATATTATACTATCTGTACCCGCACATATCCATTACCCGCAAAAAATAAAAATAAATATTTAATTTATATTTTATTAAGTTAAATTTAATTAAAATCAACATTAATTTATATTTTACAAGGTTAAATTTAATTAAAATTAAATTTTAATTTATATTTAATTTAATTTATATTATATTTTATATATTTTTTGTAATTTTATTTAAATTTTATTTTAATAATTTATAAAACTATATTTTTTAAATATTTGTGGGTATCCGCGGGTATCTACGGGTATCTGCGAGTTTTAAAATATCTGCGGGTATTTTTTAAACGGGTATCCATACGGGTAACGGGTGAATTTTTTTTTTGTCGGGTCGGGTTGCATGTAGGCACTATCCGTGCCCAACCCGACACGTTGTCATCCCTAATCAGGAAAATATCGATAGTGTCTAGGGATGCCAAAAGTAGTGAAAAATATTATGCAACCAGAAGTGGGTAAAACTCGGTTCTAGTTAGAATAACGGAGGTTACTTGAAGTGACTAGGTGATTCTAGGAATTGTAAGAATACTCAGTTTGTAATCTTGTTGAAGATTATAGTAGCATCCTTTGAGAGGTCTTAAAGGAGACTGAACATAGTTCGGTGGAGTCAATCCATATAAAAATAAATGTATTTATTGTTTTAATTGTACTAAACACCCCTTTTACATACTCTGCATCCACACACTTTTTTAACCATCATAAAAGCTTTTGTCATCAAACATTATTTTTATTAAAAGTTGGTTTTATCAAAACAGTTAAACAATTTTTTTTTATCATTAAACATTTAAAATGTTATTAATTTTAAATAACAAAATTTCATTATACAAAGATAAATAATATTTTTCAAAAGTACTATATTACTTATAAAATAAAAAATAATTGTAACATAAACACACAGAAATGCAATTTTTAATTATTGAAATTATTTAAAAAAAATAGTTTTTTATTATAATAAATGTTAAATTATTTATTATATTTATTATATTTATTATATTTATTATATGATGATTTTTTTCACATAAATTATTTATTTATTTTCCACGCATGATGTTTATAATAAAAATTATACTTAAAAAATATTGAATGGTAATTTGAATAATATATAAATATATCTATATATAATTTTTATTTATTTATTTATTATAATTATAATTATTCTAATTTAAAATATATAATATATAAATTTAATTAATTTTATAAAATTTGCTTCTAGTATCAAATATTAAATATTGTTAGAAAAATACAAATCCTAGTAAACTTACAAGGGAGAACAACTAAACCACGAAATTGTTACCCAGGTGCGTTCTAACAATTCCGGTGTGAATGACATTTTACAAATTTGACCAGTTTTTTATCATCGCTATTTGACCTTCATTTTCTATTAAAATTATTTATTATTACTATCTATATTTTATTTTGTTTTATTTTCTAATTTCATGTTAAGAATTTGATCATTCTGTTTTAGTTGATCGATTAACTAGTTATCTTAAAAAAAAAAAGTAAACTAGTACACAAACTTGGTCTAACATTTTTGAACGATCAAACTTAAATTCTTCGTTAATGTATGTAACATTCCAAAAATACAGTATAAACTATATTATAGAATAATCACAATTAACCATAATTCAGATCAGTCTTAAAATTTACAAGAGCGTACGGTTCTTGGCCGAACGACCTTTACAAAAGAGTTACTCGCTTAAACTATGCAGAATCAACAAACATGACCGAACGGTTTACAAAAGGAATTACCGAGCGGCCAAATAAACTCAAAAGGAAAGGTGACCACCTTACACTCAAACTAAACTACTGACCGAACGTCCTATTGTTCGGTCTTTACTTCTACTTCTACCAAATTTTCTTCTTCCAGCGCCTCTTCCAGCGCCTCTTCCAGCAGCTCGTCTCCTTCTGCTCACATCCACACGGATGATCATTGCAACGACAAGGACGGACGTACAAAACCAGACAACACAGGAAATACAGGGTAAGCTTATGTAATTTAATTCAAGTATACACATACATTTTGCATATTCAAACACATCAAATACATTTCAACATTCGTTTCAAGCAAGGCCTACTACTAGACTGACTGTCCGGACTGTATGAAATCTGTGTAGCTACGACGTTCGTGCACCCGGGTGATGTAGTAACTGGAATACTCTCATCAGCTGCCACCCGAGGTTAGTCCTATCTGTCCTAAGTACCCCTAAGGACTAGGACCTCCTGCCGTTCCCACACATGACCTACCCTCCTCTACGTGAGGACGGGTACTCACGGAACATCAGGATGAACCGCCAGCTAAGCATTACCACTTTCATACTTTACCATTTCAATATTCATTCATGAGTCGTTCCTCCCCGGAACGCTCGTTCAACATTCACAACATTTCATCCAACTCTTATACTCTTCATCTTTTATTATCCATCATTTTAATTTCATCTTTATCACCAATTCCAATAACATCAAATACCGAACGTTCAGTCCTTACTCGGAACGAGGATGAACACTAGGAACGAGACTGAGAAGTATCCCGTTACAGAATAGAATAAGACCGAGAGGGTTACTGTTAGATGTAGGATTAAACCAAATACAATTATATAATATATGACGAACGTTACTTGCAACATGAATCAGTTAAATGAACTGACTCTCGTGAGCTCGAACCAATACTCAAAGAATATATCAAGTAAGGAGGCTTTAGGCCGAATACAATGAATGTAGACACGTCAAGACGTTAAAGAACCATCCTTAGAATAATTCATATACAGAAACCCAATGCCAGTCAATGACCGAACATGGTAAAAGAAAATTCTACTAAAGTTGGAGGAACGCTATTTCATCAAGATTGATCAACTATAAACTAGTACAAGCGCTTGGTATAAGACCGAGCACCACTCATTACGAGTGCTTGGTGTGAGACCGAGCACTAATTAAACTTATAATAGGAACATTAATAACAATAAATATAATAAGATACGATGGAGATAGTGTTTAAGAATAACTAAATATACAAATACATATATTTACAATAATGAAGTTTATCACTGAATACTCAGATGCAACTACGCTTGACCGAACGCTCAAGCATAGTATTATCACAAGAAGACGCTCGTCCTCAACTAGGATTCTTTCCAAATGAAAGAATCAAGTTTCAAACAAGATTACTAGAAACACCGAACGGTCAAGGACCGTTCAATGACAAACGTACATTATCATAGGGAAAGTTCATATTCAGAATTCATTTACATTCAAACTCATTTCTCAGCATATAACTTCATAATTTCATACATTCATGTCATAGTACATTTCATATTCCTCATACATCAGCTCATAATAGTTATCATATATCAAATAATCCAATATCACAAAAATCATGCTTCATGCAACTCAAAGAACGTCCATGCAACACATTAAAACATACAAATTAAATTAAATAAGCTTCCCTTACTTCTGAGCGTGAACGAACGTTCCAAGAGGCAGAAATGGGATTCGCCTGACTAAACTTCTTCTACCCTCACGCTCAACAATCCTTTAAACTAAACCAACCAACAGACCAACTGTTTCAGAATAAAACTATGGACTCATGTAACCAGAAGTTGGTTTTGCATGTGTCAGGGAACGAACGACTAAAGGAGGATAAGAACTTACCAGTTCAGACTCGAAATCGATCGGTTCAAACTGAAGCTTAGGACGCCGGAAACGCTTCTACGGTGCCTGAATAGTGATCGGAGAAGAGAAAAGGTAAGGTTTCTTAGAGAGAAGGGAGAACTTTTAGTGAGAAGGAGGAGAAGATGAGAAGTTCAAAGTTTTGGGAAGGAGGGTGCATGCAGAAGAGAGTGGGACGGAGGTTTTCAGAAAAATCATTTTTTTTCCACGTCAAAACGAGCGTCCGCTCTTCTGCTGACACCTGCATCCCACTATCTGATTTCTGATCCTCGTTGTTTGACACCTGGCGTCCGCGCAAAGGGGTTTTTGGATGTGTTTTAATGATTCTAAGAGGAGGAGTTTTGGGTGTGTTTATTGAGTTATAACAATGTAAATCAACAATTATATTAATTTATTTATCTTTATTTAAATAACCACTTATTGCTAATAAAATTAGTAGATGATTAAATGCGATTATTTAGTAGACTACAAAATCAAACACTGGAACAAATGTGAAGCCTCAACAATATGCATCCATAATTGTTTCGAATATTTTGTTTATCTGGAACCCTAAACCTCAACCTCGGAGGGAGCAGAGGCGAGAAATGAGATCGAGAGGGAACAGAGAGGGATCGGAGAAGCACTGTTTGAGGCGGATGACCTGGTTGTGGCGGCCCTCGTCGAGAAACTCGTGAAGAAGCTCGAATGCGGTGAGAACAATTCTCCTCTAATAGAAAGTTCACCACGCAATTGCACAGCGACGATCTTTCCACATCCATTTTCTCCTTCTTTTCAAATCCTCATACCACACTGTGACTCAGATCGTGTCGTGCTTTCAACTTTGCTACCGCGGTGTTTGGGGGAGTTTGCTCCAGTTCTCCCGAGCCAACTCAAGAACGACTCTACATGCATGGAAGTTATCTCGGTTCGGGGGAAAATAAATCTGAATTAAAGCGTTATTAAGCATCATAGCTATTTTGATTTGAGCGTGGCAGTTCAATAGCATCACCTGTCTGTTCCTCTTTCAGTTTCTTTCAGTGTTTGTTGTTAATGCCGCTGGTGCGTGTTGCAGTTGGTGCAGCGGTGCGAGCGGGCACCCGTAATTGGGTCCGTTGGGTTTCGGGTGGGGCATCGAGTCCGAGCCTTTCGATATGGCGGCGGAAGAAGGAGATTGGCAAAGAAGGGCTGCTCGTGGCCANGAACGCTATTTCATCAAGATTGATCAATTATAAACTAGTACAGGCGCTTGGTATAAGACCGAGCACCACTCATTACGAGTGCTTGGTGTGAGACCGAGCACTAATTAAACTTATAATAGGAACATTAATAACAATAAATATAATAAGATACGATGGAGATAGTGTTTAAGAATAACTAAATATACAAATACATATATTTACAATAATTAAGTTTATCACTGAATACTCATATGCAACTACGCTTGACCGAACGTTCAAGCATATTATTATCACAAGAAGACGCTCGTCCTCAACTAGGATTCTTTCCAAATGAAAGAATCAAGTTTCAAACAAGATTACTAGAAACACCGAACGGTCAAGGACCGTTCAATGACTAACGTACATTATCATAGGGAAATTTCATATTCAGAATTCATTTACATTCAAACTCATTTCTCAGCATATAACTTCATAATTTCATACATTCATGTCATAGTACATTTCATATTCCTCATACATCAGCTCATAATAGTTATCATATATCAAATAATCCAATATCACAAAAATCATGCTTCATGCAACTCAAAGAACGTCCATGCAACACATTAAAACATACAAATTAAATTAAATAAGCTTCCCTTACTTCTGAGCGTGAACGAACGTTCCAAGAGGCAGAAATGGGATTCGCCTGACTAAACTTCTTCTACCCTCACGCTCAACAATCCTTTAAACTAAACCAACCAACAGACCAACTGTTTCAGAATAAAACTATGGACTCATGTAACCAGAAGTTGGTTTTGCATGTGTCAGGGAACGAACGACTAAAGGAGGATAATAACTTACCAGTTCAGACTCTAAATCGATCGGTTCAAACTGAAGCTTAGGACGCCGGAAACTCTTCTACGGTGCCTGAATAGTGATTGGAGAAGAGAAAAGGTAAGGTTTCTTAGAGAGAAGGGAGAACTTTTAGTGAGAAGGAGGAGAAGATGAGAAGTTCAAAGTTTTGGGAAGGAGGGTGCATGCAGAAGAGAGTGGGACGGAGGTTTTCAGAAAAATCATTTTTTTTCCACGTCAAAACGAGCGTCCGCTCTTCTGCTGACACCTGCATCCCACTATCTGATTTCTGATCCTCGTTGTTTGACACCTGGCGTCCGCGCAAAGGGGTTTTTGGATGTGTTTTAATGATTCTAAGAGGAGGAGTTTTGGGTGTGTTTATTGAGTTATAACAATGTAAATCAACAATTATATTAATTTATTTATCTTTATTTAAATAACCACTTATTGCTAATAAAATTAGTAGATGATTAAATGCGATTATTTAGTAGACTACAAAATCAAACACTGGAACAAATGTGAAGCCTCAACAATATGCATCCATAATTGTTTCGAATATTTTGTTTATCTGGAACCCTAAACCTCAACCTCGGAGGGAGCAGAGGCGAGAAATGAGATCGAGAGGGAACAGAGAGGGATCGGAGAAGCACTGTTTGAGGCGGATGACCTGGTTGTGGCGGCCCTCGTCGAGAAACTCGTGAAGAAGCTCGAATGCGGTGAGAACAATTCTCCTCTAATAGAAAGTTCACCACGCAATTGCACAGCGACGATCTTTCCACATCCATTTTCTCCTTCTTTTCAAATCCTCATACCACACTGTGACTCAGATCGTGTCGTGCTTTCAACTTTGCTACCGCGGTGTTTGGGGGAGTTTGCTCCAGTTCTCCCGAGCCAACTCAAGAACGACTCTACATGCATGGAAGTTATCTCGGTTCGGGGGAAAATAAATCTGAATTAAAGCGTTATTAAGCATCATAGCTATTTTGATTTGAGCGTGGCAGTTCAATAGCATCACCTGTCTGTTCCTCTTTCAGTTTCTTTCAGTGTTTGTTGTTAATGCCGCTGGTGCGTGTTGCAGTTGGTGCAGCGGTGCGAGCGGGCACCCGTAATTGGGTCCGTTGGGTTTCGGGTGGGGCATCGAGTCCGAGCCTTTCGATATGGCGGCGGAAGAAGGAGATTGGCAAAGAAGGGCTGCTCGTGGCCAAAGAGCTCAAGAGGCTCCGGTCCGACCCGGTCCGCCTCGACCGCTACATCCGGTCCAGCGTCTCCCGCTTGCTCAAGTCCGACCTTGTGGCCGTCCTCGCTGAGTTCCAGAGACAGAACCAAGTCTTCCTCTGTATCAAGGTTTCCTTTTTCGGCCTCAATCTTCTCTTTTCCAATGCGTAATCAAATATAAACTTTAAATGTATGTCGAGTTATTCATCAAATTATGAAAAATTAAAATAAGCTAATGTAGTACCTCTAGTATTTATTTTAAAGAGTAAATTACAATGTCAAATATTTTCTCATATTGCATTCATGTTCCTTGCTTTCGACATTGTATTGTGTTGGTTCAAACAAGTATAAACAAGATACAAGCAGAGATAACAAAAAGAGGAAAGCAGAATACTGTCTGTTTTATTACGTCAACCCCAACAACATAATTCATAATGAACATAAGTATACATAATACAAGAATACAAGAAAAAACCATAACTAACCATAACTGTTAAACGATTATGCATAAGCAATAAGAAAACTGCAAATGAAGAGTCAAGTGCAACATTTCTCCACCTTGACACTTGAATGCAGTTTGTACAACCACTCCCATGAAATCAAATATGACTAAAACCCACCATGCCTAAGCATTTTTCAAACTTATTTCTAGGTAACACTTTAGTTAACATATCTGCTGGATTGTCATTAGAATCAATCTTCACTGCTTCAATAACACGTGAATCAATCACATCTCTAGTGAAATGTAGTTTAACATCAATATGTTTGGTCTTTGAATGATACATTTGATGGTTGACTAGATGAATAGCACTTTGGCTATCACAAAAGATTTGTACACTATTATGTTCGAATCCAAGTTCAAAAAGTATTCCCTTTAGCCATAAACCTTCTTTTACCTCTTCTACCAAAGCATTATATTCTGCTTTTGTGGTGGACAAAGCTACAATAGATTGGAGATTTGCCTTCCAACTCACAGCGGTTCCAAACAGAATAAACACATATCCTGAGAGACATTTTCTAGTATGAGGACATCCATAGTCAGCATCAACAAAGCCTTCAATGATAGATTTAAAATGAGTCTTCCTCTTATATAGAAGACCTGAGTTTAGAGGGGTTAGGGAAGAAGGATAGGAGAGATGCAGATTTGTTATTATAAATATAGCATTGACTCTTTGAGAAAGTAGAAATCCTTTGTGAAGGGAAAATTCTTGGAGGAGAGATTTGTCTCCTATTTCTTCTTCTTTTCATGCTATTCCGTAAAAGAATTTATTTTCTTTTCAATTTTTGGTTCATAATAGTATTACGTGTAGTTGGAATGGTAAATACGTGTTATATACATGCTATTAATTTATGTTTATACACCAGAGTATGATTTTTGAATAATATTTATGAAGCATATAGTTTCACTAACTCAAGTTTAGGATTTTAGAGTTTATAAAGTGTACATCGTTTTCCCTTTGTATCACAAGAAGATAAACTGCTGCAGAAGTAAACACTTCAGCATTGGGGGTGGATGGCTGACCTACCTAGACTAACAAAATTTCATTATTGAAATTATGACGATCTTCGTTCCAACTAATGTTTTTGGTAGTTATTTTTGCGCCGCCATCTTATGAAAAAGAAAATTCTTTGAGCAATACATTCACCTCCATTGAACCTTGATGTAACAGTAAAACTGTGCCTTACTATCATTTGTTCATTATTTCAAATATGGAAACAACCTCCTCTCATTTTCAAAGGTACGAAAGACTCTGTAGAATGACCCTCTCCATAATTCTGCATAGTGAAGAGCCTTCAGCACCGGGATAAATTATCAACTCCTTTTGAATTGCTTTTTTTCATGCCCTTATGTTATTGTACTTTATTACGGAAAGTCACCTGTTTAACCATAATGTGTGGTGAACATAAAATGTAACATTGAACCCCCAAAATTTCAATATAAAAGACTGCAAAAGCTAAAATTTCATCAAATATTTAATTTCTTTTAGTACTAACATGATGTTTTATTAACTATTTTTTATCTCATTGATATGCACTGACTATTTAATGACAAATCCTTGGTTCCTTTCTCAGTTGTATGAAATAGTCCGGAAAGAAATATGGTACAGGCCGGACATGTTTTTTTACAGGGACATGCTGATGATGCTTGCACGAAACAGAAGGGTGGAAGAATCTAAGAGAGTTTGGGCTGATTTGAAAGAGGAACAAGTTTTATTTGATCAGCATACATTTGGGGATATTATCAGAGCTTTTCTGGATAACGGGTTGCCCTCAGAGGCAATGGAGATATATGAAGAAATGAGACAGTCTCCTGAGCCTCCTCTTTCGTTGCCTTTTCGTGTGATACTGAAAGGGCTCATTCCTTATCCAGAATTAAGAGAGAAAGTAAAACGTGACTTCTTAGAAATTTTCCCAGATATGATCATCTACGACCCTCCGGAAGACTTGTTTGAAGATCATTAGCAGCACAACGATGGGGATAATAAGAATATTATTGCTTACTGGACTTTTGGACCACTTTTTGTTTAGAGAGACTACGCATGACAAGTTTACAATGAATAAGTATTATTTGCGTCATTAATATTCTTACGCCACGTCCTGCAAGAATTTATAAATTAAAAGTTTGAAAATAAGTAAGATTATGGAATTCAAAAATTTAGCCCTAGTATAATTCTAGTGATGGAACGAACAAAGTTGTACATACTTAAAGGTTTTCAAAATTTTATTTGTAAACAATAATTTTCTGTACATGTGGATACATTTACATCATCATCCAATATCAAATCTCCAGTCACTCTTAAGTTGTTACTCCATAATCCAATATCAAATCTCCAGTCACTTTTAAGTTGTTACTCCATATAGAATAACATTCAATTGACCAGGATAGACACTAGACGTGGAAGAGAATTTTGTCTTTGATTCTAGGATTTCTAGAATAAACAACTGAAACAAATAAAGGGAGAGGAACCTATAGCGTTTGTCCAAATGGTTGAAGAGCATCAACAATCAAGCCACCTCAGCTCCTGAAGACAGCCAAAGAAAATAAACAATCTCGAGTTTAAATAATTGAAAAACTTTATACAATCTCGAGTTTAAATAATTGAAAAACTTTATACACATGTTGATAAGTGTTAAAAAGAGTAGCTTTTATACTTATAAATGAGCTCAATCTTGTAATTATTTGTCAGCCAATTTTCGCAAAGCGAAAGCCAAAATTCGCACCTGTGCCCTAAACGAATAACATCAGTTAAAGTGCAGTAGAAAATTCGCATATGCCACGAAAACATCTCAGGAATGAACTCACTGTGAATTAATTTTCCTGTTCAATATATCGTTGTTCGTTCATATGCTCTTTCTTATCATTGTATGGAAATATAATGTTATTTGAATGTCTCTGATTACCGAAAAGTAATTTTGAACATGAACATAGATAGAGAACCTAAGTGATTTGGGATCTAGGGATAGACTCAATAACTTGGTCATTTTTAGCATCGGACTTAATGCAAATTGTATGTTAAATGGACTAAGTGATTAGCATTTTAATATATTAATTTAGAACTAGTTGCTAAGGGATTAGGACTACTATGCCTTGATGTGAATGTTTGAATGAAGTAATGAAATATTGAACAGAGTTTCATATTCATATGATTCATGAAACCCAATTCCAACAAAGTTTCTTTTAAATATAAATTCCTTACACACCAACTGTTTGATAAAATACCAAAAATAGTTTCTTGTGTTGTTTTGTGCATTTGATGTCTAATTGAGTTATAAAAGGAGGAATTGTCATGTGTTGCACAAGTCCCTTGGGAGACGATACTTTTACTTATTCACTGTATTATTTGGAACGATTTGGTATACTTGCCAAAAAGTTAACATTAGTAGACTTCAAGTCAATTTTATAATGTTAAATTTTGGAATTTGTACCTGGAAGGTTTATAACCTAGGAAACTTCTCCCGAGTTAATCCTTGGTCACCAGCCTTTTGATGGCAGCATAAACAACCTTAAGAACTCAGCACATATGCCATATGCATGTTCTTGATTGGAACACTTCGACAACAATCCTCGTGCATAGCCAGACATAGCTTCCCAAGGTGATTCAGTATGATTTACTTGTTATCCTAGTAAATACTAATTCCTGATACTTTAAAGCTATTTTTATTCATTAATTCAAGTTATTTTAAAAGAAAATTCTTGTTAATAAAATCAGCATTCATGATCAATTATAAGTAATTTATTTAGTCTTTATCCTTTTTTATACTACAACTCAAAATAACTTCAGTTAGAGTCACAATAGTTTCTGTAGAAAAATATCACAAAAGTACATATGACAACTCTCTTTTGATTTAAGATTTCATCACAAGTTCCAGTGGTAACAAAATAAGACTATAGAGACATTATATTTATTAATTCAGAACAAACTAAATATACAAGCAATAATAAGAGGTTAATTATTTCATTCAATTTTTCTTTAATATATAAATGGTCTAACTTCATAGAGTCATTATTTCCATCTACATTAAAATAATCATGTCAATTAAGATTTTGCAGGTTCTTAAACTTCTCTTGCCTATCAGTTTTGCCTGACGAAATGAACCTTCTATCACATGTTGGCTTCATTTTGTTTAAGATACATTGGCTAATTAGGAGATACAATCTTAACGTGTTGGCTTGATTTTGTTAAGATAAATTGGCTAATGAAGAGGATACAATGTTCAGGCACACTCTCCTCAAATTCTTGCATTTATATAGTGAAAGCTTCATTGACTTGGACAGTTCAAACCTTCAGTTGATTGTGTTGAGAGTTAATGTTAGTTTTATAATAATGTTTCAGTAGTCATTTCATTTTCTCCAACGCCAATCCAAGATGCCGATGCAGCTATTTCCAGGCTGTGGTTTCTGAATTTGCATTAATCTTCTTTCTTTGGACATTTCATTCCATTGACCGGTGCTAGCATACACGTTTGCAAGAAGAACATAATCACTTCTATGATGATTAGGTTCCAATTCCAACAGACGGTTCCTTATCTTCTCACCCAGTTAAACATTTCCATGAAGCCAACACGCAGCTAACAAAGTCCTCCATACAATTGCATTGCATTCGTGGCATGTTCTTTATCCAACTGTATGCATCATCAACTAAACCAGCTCGACCCAAGAGGTCCACCATGCACCCATAGTGCTTTATTGTGGGTTGGATGTTATATCTGTCCATAATATCAATGTATTGTCTATCTTCATCAATCAATCCTCCATTGCTACAAGCACGTAGAACCCCAAGAAAGTACATCTATGTGAAAAGCGCCAATGCCTCCTCTCCGTTACCATGCGACCCAAGACCGAGAATCATGACATTCCTTGAAATCACATTCTTCCTTTTCGTGTTGCTAAATATGTGGCTTCTTCCACTTCTCCACACTTTGCATGCATGTCAATTGGCACAAAGCTTAGTATGTTTTTGTACAAGAGAATAATGAATTCGCTTTCCAAAATCGAGGTCTCCTATTGCACCACACGCTGAGAGGGTCACTACCAGAGTGGCTGATCCGGTTGCAGGCCACTCCGCAGCATTTTAGTAAGATCATAAGTCCCGTCAAAGTAAGGAAAACGAACAGTTGTTACTTGGATCCACATTTTCTACTTAAACAAAATCAAATATTCTGTATAATATCCTAACATTTATGATTTTTTATTTTATCATTCCCAATATCAATTTTATACTCATAATTATAATAATATTAATTTATAATTATTCTTTAGGATAATATTTGACTTTATTAGCACAATTATAATATTATTTATTATACATTATTTTTTTTACGCAACTTTTATATTTAAACACATACATAATCACGGTAGATTAGACGATTCAATATTTTTTTTATCTAAAAGAAAAATGTTATCATACATAATAGATAAAATAACAATAATATCTTCTTCAGAAGCCTCTCTTATAACTGAATGAATTAAACAAACCATACATATATATATATATATATATATATATATATAAATTACT